ATTTTAACTTTTTACAATTATTTCAGTTTATTTAGTTCTCTAGTTTAAAAAAAGAATTATTTTAGCATTTTGAAACTTTAAACTCAACAAATGAAAGGAATAGCTTTTCAAGCTGATCGTATTTCTTTCGGTAAATATGCTCTTCTAGCCCGTATCAAGAATTAAAATCAAATGTAGGGATGAAAGCGAGGCAAATTTTTATGGGTATTTTCGTGGATACTCAACCCGTAAAAGTCCATTTAAATCAGATTTGGATATTGATTAAATGGGTTTGGAACGAATATGAATATCAAATCAACTACCCACCGCGGGTTTGGATTGGATATAGATTTAAAGATGCATGTACCCTCTATCCACCAAAATTCATTATATAATTTAAAAATTTTAATATAATAAAATTTAAATGAAAATTTAAGTGCATATTGACCTCAGTATTTTACTAAAACTAAAATAAATTAAAACTAAGTTCAAAGCCCCACCCCACGATGTCATCAAATGCTTAAATAAAATATTAAACGACTAGAATTTAGAATGGTCCTTTATTCATATTTTTCCTTTTCTAGTCCCACACTTTATTTTCATCTCTATCTTTCAAGGCTCGACCAATATCAACAATAATAGACTTGGTGGCGTGTTACACATATAAGCAAAGTGGATTTTCGTGGTTATAATACTCATCCCAAGTGCCAACCTATTTAAAGTGGGTTTGAGTATTAGCTAAACAGGGTGTAGAATGGGTGCAAAAAATAATTTTAAAAGAGTTTGGGATGGATATGAATATCGAAATATTTAAGTAGGTTTGGATATGAATAGTACAAATTTTAAGGACACTCTGCCTTACTTCTATCCCAAAATTCAGATGTTGACATCTTTTAGAAATATATTTTTTAACTATGTACAAAACTTAACATGTAATACAACCCAATTATTAGAAAATTAAAATCATAACTAAATACAAAATTTACTAATTGCATTTGTAGCTCCCTCGTTTTCTTTTCCCTTTCTTCTCCATCAAATCTAGCAAGCAAGCGAGCATGTAGATACTTTCCCCTTTGTAATATTTTTGTTTGTTTTTTCTTTTTTTATTATTTATTTAAATAAAATTCCAGATACGTTTTGTTTTCGTTTTCTTTTGTTTCATGTGTTCCATAATTATTACTCCCTCTATCCATTTATACAGGCAAAGTTGTTTTTCACAGGAATCAAAGTGTAGATTTTTTTTTTTCTCATTTTTTTTATCTTATTTACCCTCAACACAATAAATAAGTTTGGCACTACATAAAAACTTACATACAATTAATATATTTTACAAACTTAAAAAAAAAAAAATGAAAGAAAAAGCAAAATGTACAAAAGTACTTTAGGCAAAATCTATTTTAAATAAGTTTACCTATGTAAATGTAATGCCCAAATAGAAAGTTTGCCTATATAAATGAAACCGGGAAAATACTAGCTTCGGTCCGTCTCTATTTGGAGTATATAATTTGTTTTCCATTTTCTATGGAATGTTTGATTTGTTTTCCTTTAAACAAGTGTACAATTTGTGGAGCATTTATTTTGTAAATATTAATCTTTATGTTCTGAAATATGGTAATATTGCATATTCTTCTATTGGATTTGGTGGTTTAAATTATTAATAGATAATTGAACCATCTATCAAAATTTGGAATATTTAAGAAAATAACCAATTTAATGAGCTATTTATTTTCTCGAACTCACCATTCAATTTTTTATTAGAATTTCTTACAGAATTGCCAACTTTGTTGAGCTTTTTCTTATTTTGAAAATTTGTTGTCTTTTTAATGATTTAAATTTAAAATCCTAATATATTTAATTTCATAAAAAAAAAAAAAAAAAAAAAAAAAAAAAAAAAAAAAAAAATGTTTGTTTTCTGTGTATTATTAATTGATTTTTATGATGTGTTAAATAAAGGATTGCAGAATAGAGTTCTTTGGTTGTTCGTTTTTCTTTTGGTTTCAATGTGTTTTCCATTAAATTAATTACTTCCCCTCTAATCCATCTTATACAGGCAAAGTGTTTTTTTATCCAACAGAGAATGCAAAGTGTAGATTGTTTTTATTTTTTCTCATTTTTTTTTTGAGTCTGTTATAGATGCACGTACAACCCTCGAACCCAATGAATGGATTAGGCTTGAGGCGAGCGCTACCATCAGCATGTATAAGAGAAGAGCGATTGAGCCAATTAGTCACTATTCGATGAGCTATGGATGCTGCATGCGGTGTGCAGCTGCGTGGATTTTAAAGCGGTAAACTTCAGAAGGAATAAGAAAAGAAGATAAAGAAGTGAATAAAGCAAAAGTTGTGCAGCACATGTGTAGGTAGACATTGTTCTTTGATGGGCCTCAGTCTAGTATTTTTAGAATAAGTGTACAGTTTGAACCTTAGTGTGGAAAGGTGTCAACGTGCCCTCATATAGAAAGTTGTTATGCGCCTAATTTCAGGTACGAACAGTGGAAACCACTGGGAGAAAAAGAGTTTACTAGCTTCGGTTTCGTCTCGTTATTGTGGAGGGTGATAATAGATTGTTGTTTATATTGCCTCCCATTTTTCTGAATGGAGTAATGGTGTGTGACTTTGTTGTTTTTCCTTTAAAGACTAAGTGTACAATTGAGTAATTGATGGAGCAGTTTATTTTGTAAATAGAGTGTAGAGTGTACTGTATTGTTCTGAAGATATGGTATTCAAGTGAGTCACATATATCTCTTTTGCGTCTAGTTCGAGTGATTATGGGAGTCGGGTGTTTACTTTAGATGATTTACTGAATGAAGATGTGTGTAAGTTATTGAGAGATGATGCGCACTTACTATCAAAGATTTTGGAGGCAAATATTTATAGAAGCGGTAGATGATCATCCACAGTGTTCTGAAGAATGATTAAGGCTACACTTACGTTTTAGTGGCTGGGTAGTATACTGCGGGAGCTACGTCTAATAGAGAATGATTGTATGCGATTGTGATCAGGTATGTGTGTACGTGCAACGCAATGTGTCATTGTTTGCGATATTTTTATTTAGAATTTTCTTTACAGGAATGTGCCAACGTTTTGTTGCAAGCCTTGTTCTTATTATTGAAAATTTTGTTGTCCCTTTTTTTAATGGATTTAAAGTTATAAACTCACTAATATGATTTTAGTATTTCATATAATAAAAAATAGAAAAAAAAAAAGAAAAAAAAAAAAGGAAAACAAATAAGGCATGATTCAATCCCAGATTACCTGATGAACCTCGACTCTTCAATTCCCATTCACACATATTGGGGTAATGAGAAAAAATATGTCAGGTTACTCAATGTTGCATCACTCAGTTTTTTTCCCCAGTTATTGCATAATCGCAAACCAGCAATATTGGGACAGGCTAACATTGCATAATGGTCCACCCCATCAATAGGTAGATTAAACATCAAAGAAAAGTGACTTGAATAGGAAAGGTTGACTAAAGTTAATAAAAAAATGTCAAAAAAAAAAAAAAAAAAAAAAAAAAAAAAAAAAAGAACAATAAGGCATACCATCCATTATCCATACCTCACTCTTCAATTCACACATTGTATGAGAAAAAAATGCAGGTCCAATGTGCATCACTCATTTTTTCCCCATATGCAATACAAAATCCAGCAATAGTGATAGGCATAATGCAAATGGCCACCCATAAGTAGAAACATCAAGAAAATGACTTGAAAGGAAAGTGACTAAGGAAAAAAAAAATGCACGACTGCAATTCAACAACGTTCATGGGCAAAGCAAAGCAACAATGACCGCTTAAGCTATTACATGCACTGGACTGGCATTTTTTTTTTCACTTTGCTCTATCAATGGAGGACTCCATTAATTGAAGCTTCGAAATTCTTACTCGAAGAAAAGAAAGCATATGATGCAACAAACAAACAAATTTTTTTACAGGAAAATATAAAAAGAGAGTTCTTTCATTCTTTCTTTTCAATATACAACTTTCATTCGAAATACTGAAGCTAAAAGAAAAACAACAACAAACATGTCGAGCGTTATATTTTTGACAGCAGGTTTTTTGGGAGAGAAAAAGAGGCTTCACCAGAGGCCTCTACGGGAAATAACATCGGCTAATGGAGTTGAAAGTTTACGAGTATTAGACGAAGTAAAGAGGCCAAGACATGGGAGCAAAGTACGAAGAAAACCTCAAGCTGTAGGAGTTGAAGATACCACTACTAGCTTAGAGGTATGATTAGCTATTGCTTATACAATTGTTACTATTTGATTATAAATTGTGGCCATGAAAACTTAGAACTAGCACGTGTTTTTAAACAATTTTTTAAAAAATAAAATGATCTTGTGTTCAAGTCCTCACATCTACGGGTGAATAAACCGTCGGTTCAGTTCAATCAAACGGAACTAAGATAAAAAAATGCACACTGAAATTTTTGGGCAATAGACCGAACCAACTTGAACCGAATCAACTCATTTTAGTTTGTTTCTCAATGTCAGTTCGGTTTTAAACCAAATGATAAATTTCTGTGAAATTGATTTGAACTGAACAATAAATTCAGCTTAAACTAAATAAATCGACAAATCTACCTATCTTGAATAATTGACCAAATCGAAATGAAAGGATCGATTCGATTTTTCAGTTCGGTAGGCGGTTTTGCACATCCCTATTCACATCCACACATAAATAATGAATTTCATCCTCATGTAAAAATAAGGTAGTGACCATCCAATGAAATCATACTTTTGTCATTTACAATTTATGATTGAAATTCAAAGGCATAAAAGTTAAAGGAGGCTGTATTTACCTTTTTGCCCTAGCACATGGGATACATCTCCCACTCCTGCGAAAGAAGTTATGAGGGCAACATGGTTATCAGCATAATACACAGGTCGTAGATATTTATGCATAAGAGGATAATGGCGAATGGCTCTTTTCTAAAGAAAAGGCCCCACATTCAGCAGATATAGTGCACTCTATTTCATGCAAAGATAAGGATACAGACCAATAATTACTTTATTCTAGCTATAAAAGGCAGGAAAGCATACCCATTTCAAGACACCTTCATTTTTCTTTCTTCTAGAAAAATTCTGAATCAGTTGTCTAACCTCAAGAAAATGCAGGCTCCTACTGCTTACAATGAACAGATGTTGGTGAACTACGTGCCAATTTATGTAATGCTACCTGTAAGTCACACGCATTTGCTTTATTTAATTGTCTAATAACGCATTCTAAGATTGTAATCATAAATTGCAACGATAAATATGTTACTAATTTTTATTTCCCATCTCTTTCCTCCCTACAACAGTTGGGAGTTGTTACAGCTGATAATGAATTCAAAGATAAAGATGCACTAGGAAAGCAGCTCAACGAGCTCAGAGCAGCTGGAGTTGACGGAGTTATGGTAGATGTGTGGTGGGGGATCGTAGAGGGGAAGGGCCCGGAGCAGTATGATTGGAGTGCTTATAAGAGCTTGTTTGAACTCATTCAACAATGTGACTTAAAAATACAAGCTATAATGTCATTCCATCAATGCGGTGGGAATATAGGGGATGCTGTTTTTATCCCTATTCCCCAATGGGTGCGAGATGTTGGAGAATATGATCCTGATATCTTTTATACCAACAGGGCAGGCACCAGAAACAAGGAATATCTCACCATCGGTGTGGATCACAGGCCTCTCTTCGAAGGAAGAACTGCAGTTCAAGTAAGTTTTATGAGTGCAATTTGGTCAAGCTGAAAGATAAACATATACATATATTTTATTTTGTCTCCTAAATGTCATTATAGAAACTTTTTGACATGTGTAGATGTATAGTGGACTACCATGAAGAGCTTTAGGGAGAACATGTTTATATATATTTTCATGACAATTTATTTTGTCTCCTAAATGTCATATAGAACTTTTTGACATGTGTAGATGTATAGTGACTACATGAAGAGCTTTAGGGAGAACATGTCAGATTTCTTAGAAGCTGGGGCGATAATAGACATTGAAGTAGGGCTTGGTCCAGCAGGAGAGCTAAGATATCCCTCTTATCCACAAACTCAAGGCTGGGTGTTTCCTGGAATAGGAGAATTTATTGTAAGTTTCAGCAATCGTATCAACCATAAGATTTTATTGTAAGTTTAGATTTTTCTTCTCTAACACACATCCCTAACATTTTCCTGTAGTGCTATGACAAATATCTCAAAGCAGAATTCAAAGAAGCAGCAACAATTGCAGGCCACCCTGACTGGGAGTTGCCTGATGATGCAGGGGAATACAATGACACGCCTGAAAAAACAGGGTTCTTTCAAACAAATGGAACGTACCTTACTGAACAAGGAAAATTCTTCTTGACTTGGTATTCCAATAGATTACTGATCCATGGAGATGATATCCTTGAAGAAGCCAACAAAGCTTTCCTGGGCTGTAAAGTCAAATTAGCAGCTAAGGTATTTTTCACAAGGTTTTTTCTTTCTTCATTACTTGGTAGAAACCAATAATAATCATATCATATTCTATTGTCAAGACAGGTATCTGGAATACATTGGTGGTACAAAGTTGACAATCACGCTGCAGAGCTTACTGCAGGATATTATAACTTGTGTGAAAGAGATGGATACAGACCCATTGCAAGGATGATATCAAGGCATCATGCAATTTTGAATTTCACGTGCCTTGAGATGAAGGACACAGAACAACCTGACAATGCGAAAAGTGGACCTCAGGAACTTGTTCAGCAGGTGAAAACTTTAAATTACATGCTTGTCATCCCTGATAACCTCTTGAACACTTGCATGATAAATCTTAGCCCTCAACCAAAATACACTTAATGATCAATGCAACAAATCTAAGAAAACTTTCCAAAGTAATTACTATGAAAGTAGATAAAATTTAAATTCCACCATTTTCATATTAAAGTCATGATTCATTGATGCCTTGCTCATGTAAGTGCAGGTTTTGAGTGGGGGTTGGAGAGAGAACATTGAGGTTGCAGGAGAGAATGCACTTTCAAGATATGATGCAACAGCTTACAATCAAATGCTATTAAATGTTAGGCCTCATGGCGTCAACAAGAACGGCCTACCAAAATTGAGGATGTATGGGCTGACATACCTGCGCTTATCAGATGATCTATTACAAGAAAACAATTTTAAGATATTCAAGACGTTTGTGAAGAAAATGCATGCTGACCAGGTAAGCACCTCCTAGACAAACACAGCATATTCTGGATGTTAATTTCTATACCTTTCCTAATAACATTCATATTTGTTCTCAGGATTACTGTCCAGACCCGCAAAAGTACAACCAGGAAATAGGTCCATTGGAACAATCAAAACCAAAGATTCCAATTGAAGTTCTTCTTGAAGCAAGCAAGCCAATGGCACCCTTCCCCTGGGATAAAGAGACAGATATGAGAGTTGATTCTTCTAGTGCTGGTCTACTTGCTGGTTTGTTTAACAGGATCAAATCCCTATTCTTCAAGTGAAAATTGTATCCATTGGGGGAAAGAGAATGTTAATGCTAACAACATGCTCTTCTAGGGCTGTGTTACAACCTTTTATGATATCTGCTGTTGAATAAAAGAATCTCCATTATCGGTATCTCACCAGATGTGCAATTGGCTTTTGATTATATTCACTTACCAGTAATCACCACAAGAACAAAATCCATCTCTAAAGTGATGGAATCTACGGATATCCCGCATAATAATTTCTCGACACATGAGTTTAGAAATCATCTTTAGTACAGTGTGACAATCCCCACATACGCGAAGGTTCTTTGTGATTCTTATGATGGTTTCTGGGCCTGTATTAATGAGAACAAACGCAACTGCCAATCTTTCACTGTGATCCCAAAGCATCTTCTCTTTTAATTCTTCATTTACATTATAGAATACAGAACTTGTATCAGGCTTGTATCCAGCTTCCTTGAGTAGCTGATTCAAATGCTTTAACATAGCATATATATCTTCTATTTGTGGATGTGATTTATCTCCAACTAAGAACCGATGAACCATCTTGTCTAACTCAACAAAGCTACAGCCAGGTGGTTTCATTAACCCCCTTTCTCTCATCAATGCTCTAACTCTTTCTACATCATCCCATCTTTTCTCAGCGGCATAAATATTGGAAAGGCAAATATAGCCACCCACCTTTCTTGCACTTATATCAAAAAGTTTTTGTGCAGAGATCTCTGCTAACTCAACATTTCGATGCAACCGGCAAGCATTAAGGAGTGCAGCCCATATATCACTGGAGGGATTAACTTCCATGGTCCTGATAAGCTTGTGTGCTTCATCTAACTGTCCTGCTCGGCCAAGAAGATCCACCAAACATGAATAATGAGCAACTACAGGCTTCACATTATAATCTTTTATCGCTCTGTCAAAGATTTCTTGACCTTCAGCAACCATTCCTGTATGGCTACAAGCTGACAAAACTGAAGTAAGAACACCCTCATCTGGAATGATACCATGCTTGATCATTTCACTAAAGAGAGAAATAGCTTCTCTCCCCATCCCATGAATGCCATATCCAGAAATCATAGCACTCCAACAAATCAAATTCTTCACAGGGGTCTCATCAAAAACGTTACGTGAACAAGCCAAATTTCCACTTTTAGCATACATGTCTATAAGTGCTGTTGCCACAATGGTGATTCCAGCAAACCCTTTCTTAGTAAGGTATGAGTGGACAGACATTCCAAATTGCAAGGCTGTGATCTGATCACATGCCCCAAGCACAGTTATAAACGTGACTTGATCAGGTTCAGCTCCTTCCGAAACCATTTTACAGAAAAGCCTTAAGCTTTCAAAAGCATCTTTGGTTCGTGCAAAGCCAGAAATTATAGAATTCCATGACACAGTATCTTTCCATGCCATTTTCTCAAACAATCTTCTTGCATTGATCATGGAATTGCACTTACAATACATTTCAATAAGAGAGTTCATCAAAAAAAAATTATAAAGCCCGTACCTATTTCGAACAACATAACCATGAATCTCTTTCCCCTGCTTATCTGCAACTAGTTCACCACAAGTACAAAGGAGACCGATCAAAGTCATGTCATCTGCAAGCAATTCAGTTTGCTTCATTAATTCATAAATGGCCAAAGACTCCTTCGGTTTACCATTCTTAACATAACCCAATATCATGGTATTCCAAGAAGTCAAATCTCTCACAGGCATTCTATCAAACAACATCCTTGCAACCTTAATGTCTCCAAACTTCAAGTACATTGCAAGAAGAGCATTACCCACATAAATATCTGAATCAAAACCAGTAACCATCACCACACTATGAAATTTCCTACCAATTTCCACATTCAAGAAATCACCACACGCCTTAATCACAAAAGGATACGTAAATTTATCCGCCTTTTGCCCAAAACTCCACATTAGCTGATACAAAACAAGAGCTTTCATTGGAAAACCATTGCAAGCATAGCCTCTAATCATAAAATTCCACAAGAAAGAATTTTTCAAAACAATCCCATCAAAGATTACTTGGGCACTGGCCATGTGACCACAATTTGCATAAAAAACAGCGAGTTTTGTGCTTAGGTAGGTGTTATTTTGAAGAGTGCCAGAGGTAATGATATAAGCGTGTAGTTGCCGGCCTTTGGCGAGAGATTTGGTGTTGGTGACTGATTGTAAAATCTTTCCACATTGAAGTGAAGTAAGTGGTTGATGCGGTGCAAGAAAATTGTCTGCAAAGTGAGTGTTGGTAGCGTACGGAATTTTCTTGAGAGATTGTGCATTTTGATGCATGATTTTAAGAGTAAAAACGCCATTCATGGAATGGAATTTTGAGCTCTGGGCTGGCGGGATGAACCTATATGTATTATTTTAACTCGATTAAAAAGAAGCTTTTACTTACATAATTAAAATTTTCTGTATACACAGAGAAATTGTCTTTTTATAATATTTGTCACGCACGCTAAGTAATTATAGCACGTAGCCATGAGAGGTTAGTTAAAATTTTCTTTTAGTTTTGCAAATTTCTTTTTTTTCTTGTAAGAGAAAAGGTTTCTTTTTAAATTACATATTTAGAAAAAAAATTATATGACATTATTTTTAAATATACATTTTTTCAATTTCTTTTGGGAAAATATTTTTTAAAATTGATAGAAATATTTTATTTCTCTTTATAAATTATTTTTATTTTATTTTAATAATTTTAACTACATTCGCTTTCTAAAAAAAATTAAACATATTCAATAATTAATGACAGATATTCATTTAAACTAATAGCATCTTTTCTAGTAATGACACATGTACATGTAAACCAAATTTAATAAGTTATATAAGCATTGTACATTCTTTTCTTATTTAGTCAATTTTCCTTCTTTCTTTAATAATTTTTTTCTTTATTGTAATACTCTTGTTTTCTAAGTTAAAAATTATTATTTTTTTAATATTTTTGAAAGATTTCATAAATAAAAATATGGAATATGATTTATAAGATTCAATATATAAAGTTATTTCACCAATTAAAACTTTATTTTTGAGTTTTAAATTAAATTTATTTTAAAATGTAGTGATAACTTACTATATATTTAAATTTGATAATTTTATATTTTAAATAACTTTTTTTTTTTGAAAAATAAATAATTATTAAGTAATCTTTGAATCAGAAAAATTTTTAAAAATGAATTTAATATAAATTCTCTTTATAAACATTATTTTTTATTTTATTTTAATAATTTTAACTACATTTCGCTTTCCCTAAAAAAAATTAAACATATTCAATAAATTAATGAACAGATATTCATTTTAAAACTTAATAGCATCTTTTTCTAGTAATGGACCCATTACATGTAAACCCAAATTTTAATAAAGTTATATAAGCATTGTACATTCTTTTCTTATTTAGTCAATTTTCCTTCTTTCTTTTCAATAAATTTTTTCTTTATTGTAATACTCTTGGTTTTCTAAGTTAAAAATTATCTTATTTTTTTTTTTTATATTTTTGAAAGATTTTCATAAATAAAAATAATGGAATATGATTATAACTGATTTCTAAATTATTATTAAAGTTATTCACCAAATTAAAACTTTATTTTTGAGTTTTAAATTAAATTTATTTTAAAATGTATGATAAATTTATTTTAAAATGTAGTGATAACTTACTATATATTTAAATTTGATAATTTTATATTTTAAATAACTTTTTTTTTTTGAAAAATAAATAATTATTAAGTAATCTTTGAATCAGAAAAATTTTTAAAAATGAATTTAATATAAAAAAATTACAGTATTACCAATAATTGAAATTTTGATAAGGAATCATTTAAGTTGGATTTAGTTAAATAATTTAATACTTTTTAAAGAAATATAGTTTAACATAATTTAATTCTTCTAAAAAAGGATATAATTTAATAGTTAAAATAAATAAAATTTAATTAATAATTTAGCTTGATCACGAAATAAGAGATTATATTAACTATAATTAAATAATACTCATTTGGACACATCCCTTCATATTTTTAAGTATTTTAAAAAGATTCTTAACAAGATGTTTTATAAATTTGCACCAATTATAATAAAAAAAAAAAAAAAAAAAAAAAAGAAATAATATATTCCAATGTAACACATAAACTGTTTTGCATGTATAAGTCATTTGAGTAGTTTTTAAATACAATGGGTTTAGGTGTAAAAATAAATAAATTTTAATGCGTTTAAGAATTATTTTGTATTTAATAACAGAAAATTGCCATTTTCTTCAGTAAGTTTAATCCACTGAAAAAAAAAATAAGAATGGTTTTTTTTATGAATAAAAAAAAAAAAGAACATTTGTTAATTTTTTTTTTTCCAGGAAAAAATATTTTTTTCCCTTTTTGAAAAATTTAAACCAATTTATTAATAAATGAATATAAGTTGAGTACATCATAATTCTTATAGAAATTAAAGAAATTACAAGTATAGAAAATGAAAATTCTTATGTTTGAGAGACTTTCTTGATTTTGAAAAAAAGAGGTTAATCTTCCACGTAAAAATTGATTATTTTTCCAAATATTAACGACAAAAAAGAAACCTTCCACAATATTATCTTGAACATTATATTTCTTAAAACTATTACAATTGACACTCGCAAAAAGAAATTAAGTAACCTCAATTAAGGACGGCTACAAAAACACTTAAAGTCTATTACATATAGGATCTGAGTGATTAAAATCCAAAATTTTATTCCAGCATGATCACTTAAATTTAGAACTTATTTTAAAAAGAAACTAAATAAAATAAAGAAAAACGATAGTGAGAAGATTGAAAAGAAATCACTGCTGACTAAAGAAAATGATCAAGATGTGGGTTTAGAAAATAAAATTTAGAAGAAACACAAAACAAAGAAAGAGCCAGAGGAAAACAAGCTAACTTGGGATGTGGTAGTTTGAATATGCCGGTAAAATAAGAAAAGGACTATTCTTAGTAATTCTCTAAGATGGTAATGTTAATGAATAATAATAATAATAATAATAATAAATAATAATATTATTATTATTTATTATATTATTATTTATTGCATAAAACATTAGTGTTCAATGATGTTTCGGATTTGGTTAGTCCTAAGCTAAGATCCTGTACTTTTGATTTCCTTAAATTATAGGAATATTATTCACGTGAAATGGCTGCTTTTTTTTTTTTAAGAAATTAAAGTTGAGTATTAAGAACTAGAAACAATATTTCAAAATAACCAAGAGGATTAATTGGAAGTAAGAACCTCCGCAACCCAAACCTTTCCAAAGAAAAAACAAAAGCATAGGCTTACTCAAAAAGCCATTTGAGCCCACAGTGTTGAGTTCTTGTTTAAACATGAGAATTAGAAGAAGGAAAAGGAAAATGCCTGGAAATAGAATTCAAGCTCAATCAAACTGTGCTTGCCAAACTCAGTATCAAGGAAAGAATTTGCCGTATAGAAAGATTGCTAAATCCTGAGCAAACAATCGGACCTCCAGAATTATTTGAAGCAAAGCCCACCTCCAATGCCTTTAATAATCCAAATTGAGCTGCTGCAAGCTCAGAGATCTGCTGCTGGGACCAAAACAGGACATGAGCCGACAAACCAGCTCCCGATTACCTTTTCCTTACCATTCCTAATCATCAAAGCCCCACCCAACTTCAACATGCTAGATAGAGATGCAATCTGAGTTCCAACATGATAACACTAGGAGGATGAGGCGCCACTTGATGCTGACCGGAGATGGAATTTGTTGGATTTAATTTTCTATTGTGGGCTTAATATTGTAAAATTAAATATGTACAGCGAGTCCAAATTGTAAAGTCAATTTCAAATGTGCGATCGATTGTGAATAATTGACTATTGAGGTATCAACTAAATTATAGATATTAAGTGTAGAGACCATTATATTAAATTCCTATTTCGTTAAAGGACCAAATGAGGAATTGTTACTAACCCTACGATGTAATATAAAGCTCGTTGGTCCCCACGAGGAGTTGAATTACGATTCAGTTACGTTCCTTTCGTATTGCTTCCGCTAAATCATTCCTTCAATTCTCTGGAAGGCTGCCAAAAACCTTAATTCTTACAACATCAAGACGACGAACAACGATGTCAAGTACGCAACCTTTCTAATTCAATCTATTTTGTTGAAATCTAGTGGTTCGCACATCTACGTTAATATTGAATTATTTGAGATAATCATAAACAAAGTTGGTATCAGAGCCTATCGAATGTGCATAATTGCTAGAGTTTTAGATTTGATTTTCGTATAAGGTTTTTTTTTTTATTTGTTTACCCTACTGTTATGGATGAGGGTTTTGTATTAATAAAAAAAAAAAAAAATTGTCTCACTGTTCTTCAGATTTCCCCAAGAACAGGTAAAGGTTTTGAAACTAACGCCATTAACGATTAGTTGTCGTTGGTAAATTTTTTTTTTTTTTTTGCTGGCTGGATCTTGTTTAAAAAAAAAAGAAGAAAAAAAAAGAAAGAAACAGACGGTTTCTTTGGAGAGAGTCCGCATGAGGTCCGTCTCTGATGTTTGTGTCCTTTTAGGGTTAGGAGGAAAAATGTATATTAGGTCCGTGGAAAATTTTGTATTAGTCCCTAATTTTTTTGTAACTTCAGATCTAGACCCTTAAAATTTTCGGCTGTAATTTCAGAAAGTTAGGGCTCCTAATTTTCTGTAACTTCAGATTAGGCTACCTTAAATTTCGTGTAATGTTCAATTATTAGGCCCGCTAATTCTCTGTAACTTCAGATTAGGTCCCTTAATTTTTGTTTCTTTTTCTAATAGACACATAAAAACAATATTTCAATTAAATTGACCCGAACTTTATATATTCAAAATCTTATTATAGTCCTATCTTTATAAGTTTAGTCTCTAATTTATGACTTCAAAGACCTAAGATTATAATTTTTTATTTGGGCTAAATAATTTTTAGATTATGAAATATTTAGACAATCCAATTATTTAATTGCAATTGTTTTGTTTTAATACAATTAAAATGATGATTTTGTCGACGTTGAGATTAAATTTTTGGAGTTTGACTTAAGTCCCTATTATGCTTTGATATTTTGTTTTTTAAAATAAATTAAGTTGATCAATAAGTCACCAAAAAAAGTGACCTCTATTTGCCTTGAATTGGATTTATTTTAGAATATTAAACTGTGTATTAGAATTCGTTGCGGATAGTTAAAAATCGGCCCAAAGGAAGGTTGCTATCTAGCTGAGTGAAACATGTTTGGCAATAAATATGTGATAATTTGTTTGATTATTTTCCATGACAAATGATATATAAACGGCCCAAAGGAAGATTTATTATTATGTTAGGACTATGTTAATCAATATTTGATTGTTGCGTTGAGATACTAATTACAAGTTAAGTCTTTACCATCCCAAAGATGAGAATATTAATGTTGTGTCTGTATCTTA